GCCAAGTGAGGCAGTCACAGAGCTGTAACAGTCAGCATGTGAGATAGTACCATACTTAGTTTCCACCTTAAAAGTTCCACCGCCATATAAGTCGCATTAGTCCAATTATGTCTAATAAAGTGGAAAAAACATAAATATGTCATTTCGCCTAATAAGTCACACCTATTATGCATCACCACTGACCACCCGGAAACGTGGGCCGGTGTTATGCCAAAAATCGATTGTCTGCCAAATGGCAGCTGCGGGAGCGTCCACGGGAGGACTTTAACAAGAATTTAACAAGATTAACAGTTTAAAAACAATTGTTTGTTTGCTCGACATTATAGCAAATGTGTGTCTCAGTTTAACTTTTGCTTAATAAATGCACTTTAATGGTCAAATAAGCTGCATTTTGCGTGGGTGGAGCGGCGAAATGCAGCTCCAGGAGTTCCGGAGCAAGACGGAGGTGGCTTGGTATGGCAAGCCGAGTGTCTCATTAATAGCCATTTTTACTTATTAATGAGACACTTGGCTTGCCATATTGGTTGAGGGCCCTCTAGCAGCTGAAAATGGTAGTGTTCAATATTTTTCTTGTCAGAATGAATGAAATCGTCAGATCTCAGCCAAAAAAATTGGATTATAAATATGGGGGGAAAACGTAAATTAGTCTCTTCAGACTATAAGTCGCAGGACTTGCTAATTTATGTAAAAATATGCAACTTATAGTCTGAAAAGTATGGTGAGCCTGTTTGTCAGCTCAGTCAGATGGCGTATGGTCTGTTCCATGGCATTAAAGACCATTACCAAGGAGTAGTTTGATGATGACAAGTAGCAACATTATATTTAGTTTAAAATGTTGGTTAACCACAAGGAGTACAAACTTAATTGATCATGTTTTGAAAATAGTATGAGTGAGACATTAGTCACACTTTCAATACGTAACGCTCCATGTCAACACAACTGACTTCTGCTCCATGCCTTTTTACCTTTTGCAGAACTCGCTTTATTTCTGAAAGTGTGGGTGTATGCAGGATGTGGCCGACTCCATTTCTGATTTATGAACAACCAGAGGCTGCTTAAAGATGGACGGGGTTTAGCAGCCATTTTGCAGAACTCTTTCTGAACGTGCTTATTGTCTTTTGCCCACGTTTCAAAAGTTTTTCTTTCAATCTTCAGTCCCTGGCACTTTTTAATAAATTTAAAGTAAAGAACCTCCAATGTTTTTGTTGCCATTATAATTGCATTTTGCAGATCTGACATTTTGTTAAAGCCAAATTCTTTTACAGCAGCATTGTAGCCAAACTGCAACATTTGTTTTTGTAACTGTGCTATTTGTATATTAGAAAGCGTGAGGCACCGATATTCCATTCCCAGTTCGACCAGACAAACAAACTGTTGTTATAGAAGCATAAAAATAAAAAGAAAGCATAAAACATTTCATTTTTGACAGCATGTTTAGTGAAAGATTAATTGGAAAATGTTGTAATTTGTTTCTACAGTAAGTAGGTTGCAAAGTAGGTTTCTATGGTCAAGACCTGGCCTTTTGGTCGGACGTTTATTATAACAAGAACAAAAAGAAGTAAAGAAAAATAAATATTGTATGCATTCATTGACATATTCAGCTCTGAAACCAGATCAGGTCGTCTTTGTTTTTAATTCAGTGGGATTTCCAAGTTAAGGTTATAAAAGGTTCATGTTATTACTTTGTAAAAAAAAAAATAAAGAATCATAAAATGAGCTAAAACAATCCAAACTGTGGAAATCAGAACCTCAATAAAACACAACAAACCCCAGAGATCATGCACTGTATTTAAAACAGATACACTAGATTGAGTTTCCATTTGAGGAAACTTGCTTGTGAGTGTACGAAAGGGCGGCAAACTCTAAAGTTACAGCTGTCGTGTGTAGTTGTCGGTGGTGTCGCTTGTAGGTGTAGCTATCAGGTTACATCTTTAATGAACTGCAACTTAAGCTGACAGCATGACTCCTATCAAGAAGGGAACATCTTGAGTTTTTAGGAGACCGAAGACTTACCGTAAGTGTGGACTAAAGTGACATTTGTCTGGTAAATGGTAACAACACCTTGTTGCTAGGCCTGTCACGATGAACAATAAATCAATTAATCGCTTGATGAATGAAAATTATCAGCCCCATTTTCATTTACCGGCTTTATCGTTTCTTTGTATCTCTCTCTTTCCACTGAAGACACGGCTCAACTCCGTTGCTCTTCACCGACCCATCCCTTTCTCTTTAAAGTCAGTTTTAACCGTCCAAAATCGCATTTTTGGATCGTTAAAAGCAGCTAAGCTGAGAAGCTAAGCTACGAGCTAAGCTAACAAGCCGACCTCGGGAATAAACCTCCATCTTGTTGAAGCTCCAAAATTCACGGTTGAAACCCATGCCTTTGTGTAAAAAGTTGTTTGTCTCTGCAAAAAGAAGTTGAGAATTTGTTTACTGATTTTTTTTTTATTTATTAAAAGCTTTGTGTGAAAAATGCTATGCTAAAGAGCTCAAATCACAGAGCGTCCGCCATGTCACCATGTCACGTCAAGGGGCCTCCCTCACATTTTTCTTTAAGACACCCTACTCAACTATCCATCTTTTAGTTCAAACAGTCTTATACTGCCATCAGGTGGTCAAACAAGGTGCTACACTCCAAACAAATCAACATTTCTTCTAAAATTTGACAATTGATTATTGTTAAATTTCAAACAATATTATAGTTTATCGCAATAATTTCTGAGACAGTTAATTTTTCCATCCATCCATCCATTATCTTCCGCTTATTCCGAAGTCGGGTCACGGGGGCAGCAGCTTGAGCAGGGAGGCCCAGACATCTCTTTCCACAGCCACCTCTTCCAGCTCTTCTGGGAGGATTCCAAGGTGTTCCCAGTCCAACCAAGAGACATAGTCTCTCCAGTGTGTCCTGGGTCTTCCCCAGGGTCTTCTCCCAGTTGGACATGCCCAAAGCACCTCCCTAGGGAGATGCCGAAGCATCCTTACCAGATGCCCGAACCACCTCAACTGGCTCCTCTGTGGAGGAGTAGCGGTTCTACTCCAAGTCTCTCCTGAATAACTGAACTTCTCACCATCTCTAAGGGAGAGTCCAGCTACCCTGCGGAGAAAACTCATTTCATCCACCTATATCCGCGATCTTATTCTTTCAGTCACTACCCAGAGCTCATGACCATAGGTGAGGGTAGGAACGTAGACCGACCGGTAAACAGAGAGATTTGCCTTACAGCTCAGCTCTCTCGTCACCACAATGGACCGGTACAGAGTCCGCAATACTGCAGATGCTGCACCAATCCGTCTGTCAATCTCAAGCTCCATTCTTCCCTCACTCGTGAACAATTGCGCAGCAAAATTTGTTGCTTCTCATCCAAATTGTAAACTGTAAGTAAATAGTAGATGTTACAATCTTTGTCCATACTTTGCTAAAATTAGTTTCATAAGGCTCCAAACAACTCCAGACAAGCTCACAGTAAGTCAGGGGTGTCCAAACATTTTCATAGCTGGGCCAGAACAGTCATGAAAAGACTTGTGCGCCAGAAAATTTTGAATTTAAGAAAATAAAAAAGTTTACAAATTGTTATTTCCCCCCTCATTTTTAAACTCTCAACATCTTGAACAATATTTTGGAGAAAGGCTAAAAGTTTAAATTATTGCAGATCCAGAACATTAGGAGCCTCATTAACATACACCCTTTTTTTTAATTTAAAGAATTTAATTTATGAGATTGTTTGTTTAGGTCTATTATTTGTTTTCTTGTGCTTGGAAAGTTAATTTTTGTTTATTTTCAGAGACAAAAGCCTAAAACGAGTATCTGCTCTTTAAAAAGGGGATGGAACTTCAAACACCAGTTTGGACCATGGACCAAAAGGGTCATCCAAGTTCTGAAAACCCGTTCAGCTGGCAGTCGCTAAAACAGATTAATGGAAGGTTTGAAGAGACACTGATAAAGTGGATCAACTTGTATCTCGATGATACCACTTTATATTCTTTTAAACATGTCCAATTTCTCTCCTTCGATTATTTAATCACCTGCAATTGTTTTATTTGAAAACACTTGTTATATTATTATTATATTATATTATATTATTAGACAAGTTTTATGAATCATTATCCAAAATTCTACTTTTTGGTAGGTCAGCGAAGACTTGTAGGATAAATTATAGCTCAATATTTGTACTGTACTTAATATTGCTCATTTTGAGAAGCTTATTTTAATTTGTTTTGCTGTTAAACCTAAAATTTTAAAACGTATCACCATTAAATCTAAAGAAGGTCTACATCCACATCAGCCTCTTAAGCCTGTGGGTCGGAACACCATTCTTTAATTGCAGTCGAGGGCCACACAAAATTACTCCAAGGACCTTAAATGGCCCTTGGGCCACACTTTGGACACCCCTGCAGTAAGTGATGCTGAATTAATCCTCAGACTTTATTCTTCGGACGTTGTGACCGATTGCTTCTAAAATTTTACTGGTGAGGAAAATCTAAACAAAAAAAAATCAGATTTTCCCCTGACGCTGCAACATGCTGCTTTGATTAATATCAAGGAAGCGAATGCACAACGTTTAAGACCATCTAGTTCATCACTGTCGACTGTTATGCTGAGACTAACAGAAGCTGCAGGAATCTCATTGTTTGTCTGAACCTTCATTAAGAGTATAAACTTCTCTACGAAACACCTCCACAGTATATATTCCACAAACAAATCAATAAAACCAACTTTACTTTTTTGTTGTTTTTGCTCAAAAATGATGAATCAGTCGTCAGCCCTAGTCATTAATCACCACAGCTCTAGTCTGCATTTTCCTCATACAGTACATGTAGATAAATATCTTATCTACAGCGTGTTTGTACGACTTGTGGTGTTAATAACTGCCCTATTGCTCATGTCTTTATATAATGGAAATATAATATATATTTGCCTCCAAAGATAAAACAGCTCCACAAGCTGTGATCACCAAAAATATTTAATATGAAGGTGTTTTTCTTTCCTCTGTTTCCACCAGATGGCCTCGGCAACAGCGACCTATGGACAGAAGGAGGCTTCTGACCAGAACTTTGACTATATGTTCAAGATCCTGATCATTGGTAACAGCAGCGTGGGGAAAACCTCCTTCCTGTTCCGCTACGCCGACGACTCCTTCACGCCAGCTTTTGTGAGCACGGTGGGGATCGACTTCAAGGTGAAGACCATCTACAGGAATGACAAGAGGATCAAACTTCAGATCTGGGTAAGACAAAAGCAAAGGGACCGGTGTCTGCTTATAGCTAACTGTGCATCCCCGCGTGGTTCGATGGGTTTTTAATATTGCAGCACGTCAAATTTCAGAAGATGTTTCCCGTCATGTCTGACAGAGTCATCTGCTGCTCTGTGATACGTCGCCCCGTGCTGCAGTTCTGTTATGCAAACTGTCCTCAGATTGCACCGAGCACATGCAACGTCGCCTCCTCTGCAGCCTTTTCATTCACACCAGCCTAGGATGGGTAAAAAAAGAACAAGTACAGAAGTGATGAGAGGCGACGTGTCCTCAGGAGTAAGCAGAATGTTTCCTCTGATGTTGTGTTGCATCATGCGTTGGGTAGAAACTCAAGAGAAAACAGTGTGGAAACAATAAAGAGCAGCTTGCAACGGTGTCTGAAGCATCACATCGTTTGCAGCAGCCTGAGCTGTACCAGAAAGGTGTTTGTGTGTATGTGTGCCTCTGTCGTCAACATTTGCCAGGTCTTGCCTCTGGAAAGGAAGAAGTGATTAGCCAATCGGAGCACAAGAAAACCATGACTGGGTGCTTCTCCCTTCCCCCAAATACTACACATCAGTAGCTTTCCCGTAGTCACCATCCCCCACGTTTCAGCCGAGATTCAAGGAGAAAATGAAAATTATTTGAGCTGAAATGCAGAATGAATATTTCTTTATCAATGAGCAATAAACGGAATTAAGGCCAATATGATTTGTCATATTCATGTACACACTCGTGCATAATATTTCTCTAAAAACAGCGGCGTTGGTGTGTGTGTGCGTTTAACAGTTCTGTGCACGCTGCTTTCTTACACTAAGATACATTATTTAATGCTTTTATTAAAAAAAAAAAAACTGTTTGGAAACTTTACACTTCTTTCATTTCTTCTGAAGTTGCTCTTTTTTGGTGTTTTTATTCTAGAATTGCGCCGCTCAGGGCGGCTGCATGCTGGAGTAGCTCTGCTACATCCATTCTGGGATATTGCTTTTGAAAACTTTATTTCCTCTTTTTCTGGATGTAAATCACTTTTTTTGGATGATTATTTCCTCTGGTATCTGATGCTGTGCAGCTGGAAGGATGTTTTACTGAAAACGTTTTGCTTTTGGACATTGGTTATGATGCGTAACCGTGACAACAAGGTTGGGTGGAGGACGAAACGTCTCAGCAACAAAAGAAACAGTCCAGATGACCGGACTGAACATTATTGGATAACAACAAGGCATTTTTTTTAACAACTGGGAGCAGCTTTAACATCTCAAAAGCTCAGCTACAGCCCCAAATCTCAAATGAGTTGAAAAGGAGATGCCATGGACGCGTTCGTGTCTACCTGCCGGAGGTGCAACAACAACAGCAACATTTAATTTCCCTTTGGGATTAATAAAGTATTATTGAATTGAATTGAATACTGCTCATGTTCATGAACTGAGCAGACCTTGTTTTGTTTGTCATAATTCTGTCTCTCTTGTTCTCCTGTTGTAGAGAGTCCTCAGAAATTATTTAAGTGTGAACTAACTAACTAAACATAGAAAGATTACTATTTGAATGTGCATTAGCCAGGTAAGAACTATGTAAATTAACAAGATTCAGCAGGTGAAAAATAATCTGGTATGTGTATTTTTATGGATGAGGCAAAACCTAAAAGTTGAACAGAAACAAGCCGACAGCGAAGCTTGTCCCGTTCTGGCTTCAACTTCATGGTTTTGGTCCGAGGTCTGCCTTTATTTAATTTTTGGTTTTCAATCAAACCACCTTTAAAGTTGATCCGGATACTTTTACCTGCACACATTTGGTAGTCTGAACGCAGTCCGTTGTCAACGTACAGCGTTTCACTGCTGTTGATTTTTACAGGTTTAAATCTTCAGTATTTCTTTGGACACATTTTATATTACATCTGTTAGATAATAAAGCTCACAACTCCACAATAATGTGACCCAAAACTTCAGTTTTTTTCATTTTGCATTGAACATGTCCAGTCCCTTCTTGGAACGGTTCAACCTTCAACGCGAAGTCAGATGACAATAAACCTCAAATCTCCAACAAGCTTGTGCGTTACCATGGTGACACGTCTCACGTTTGTGACAATGTTTGCAGAAAACATTTGGCTGAAGTGTTATTGGGTTTACTTCAGGCGGTGAGGGATATTTACAGCCAACATCACTGAAAGTCTGCCATTTGTGTCAAAAACCGAACATCACCAGGATGTACAAAGTTTTCATCTGTGACAAATGCTGAATTTTGTTGCTTGGTTTCAGAAAGTTATCTCGTTTTTCTTTTGAGTTACACCCTTAGTTGACACTGAGACCTTTTCACCAAGTTCCTACACCAGTTACGCTGCAGCATGACTCAAATTTATTAAAATCTGACATACACAATCCAATTTATTGACAGTTTGGGCGCAGTAAAATATTCTGAACCAAAAATAAATGCTCACTTTATTGTTATTTATGTATAACGACTTCATATGTTGTTTGCTGAATATGCTAAGATTTTTTTTAAGCGTCTCCTTTTCTGAAATGTTTCATTTTTAGACTTTTTGGTGAGCACAAAGAGTGTTCGTTACATAACTCCACTCCGTCTACCTACACTGACAAGTGAGGTATAAAACTAAAGCTCTTATCCCGTTCTGCCTGCAGCATGAAGGGATGAGGACAGGACAATAAACACAACAGTGTATTTAGGTTGTAACAGTCTCTAAAAATAGATTAAATTAAATTGCTGTCATCTTCAGACTGACAGTATGTGACTGAGTGCAGACATTCGAAGCTCTTTTACCTTCACATCGTCATTTAGATTCATTCTGTGAAGTCCAGATATGATTTGCTAAGATGTTTCATGATGACTAAGTTCAGTGTTAAGAATTGAATCAAGTAAAAACAGCTGTGTTTTCCTTGTGTAACTCCACAGTTAATCACACATAAGGTTTACACATTACCACATTTTATCTAGTGTGAAATGTTTAACAGATTAAATTTAAGAAACAGTTTTTGTCATCTATGTCCAGGAACATTGACTTTCTGTGAATAAGTTTTATAAAGGTCCAACAGAATTGTGCTATTTTGTTCCCCCTGCAGGACACAGCAGGTCAGGAGCGTTACCGCACCATCACCACAGCTTACTACCGAGGAGCCATGGGCTTCATCCTCATGTATGACATCACAAATGAGGAGTCCTTCAACGCTGTCCAGGACTGGTATGTCTTCATCTAACAGACAGTTTTTTACAGGCGTATGGATGATGGATAAAACAGGACCTGGAAAGTCAGAAACAGACCCAGAGATATGCAGAAGCTGACAAAAGAACGAGGCAGATGAAGGTGTTCAGGTTTCAGGATGTTTCTAGGAGTCTAAAATATCTGAGTCAGATGCTGCAGGAACAGGATATTTTATCCTTTTGTCTCTATCAACGAAAGCAGCTGAAACACCAAGTTTCTTTTGTTCCTTTCACTCTAAACCACGTGTGTCAAACTCAAGGCCTGCGGGCCAGATGTGGCCCACCACGGCATTTATATGGCCCGCAAGAGCTTAAAAGATCTGATTGTCGTATAATAAATGTCAAAAGGGTGCACTGACAACAAAACTACATTTCCCATAATGCATGCTGATTATGTTACCCATGAAGTAACAGCATCCCACCACTAGATTGTAGTTTTTCCCAGTTTTTCCCAGCAAAATTTGTTATCGTGACAGGCCTAGCTTCAAGGAGAGAAACCGGTATGTCTTTTGCGTTGGCTGATCAGAAGATCGTCGGTTCAAGCCCCGGTACCAACAACATCAAAAATGTGGATGGGGTAGGTGAAGCACCCACACCTGCCCCCACCCTCATTCGCCCCACTCTGGGCCCATGAGCAAGGCCCTTAACCCCCATCTGCTCCCTAAACAGTTCTCTCTTGAAAATGAGTTCTCGTGTCTCAATGAGACTACCTGTATGAATAAAGAGTAAATGGAAAATAAAAGTGTTATGAGGCAGTGGTGGTCATCAAAGAGTACAATTTACGTCGACCTTTTGACACTAAACACGGAGATAAGTATGACAAAGTGAGTCTTCAACCCTAGTGTTGTTATTTTGAGTTTATTATATTTATTAAATGTCTTTTATTATATTATTTTAAATTCACAAATTTGGGATTGCAGGTTTTGTGTATATGCAGACAAATGTTTTCTATAATACCATCTCTCATTAGTTGGATGTATGACACTTGCCAGGTTGTGTGCAGCCATTTGTTTTTTGTAAAACCGTCACACATGTTCTTAGCAACTCCCAAACGTTGGTTGAATTGTTATTCTGCCCGTCTTAACTATGACAAAAAAAGATTTGAACAAAGTTAATATCATAACTTGTTATTTTTCCTTATTCACTTGGAAAGTTTGAGTGTTGATTTATGGAGTAATGTGGGTTTCATAACCTGGCAAATTAAAAGGTTTTATTATGTTATAACAGAGCAACAAGCAGACATATTTTTCTACATCTATG